CTAGTATTTCAATCGAGTAGCGAGCTTTTAATAGTTCTCTCTCACTTAGATTATGGGAAAGAAGCGAGGGAAGGGTACTCAATACTCGTCACTCGACTAAAATACAAGCGTAGTACGAACAAAGCATACCGCGGAGAACCTAACGGGTTGCCGGGGCTCCGGCTCGAAGTGCATGAGTAGGAACGGGGTGGTTTTTAGTCAGTAAGAGTCTGACACTCCCTCCGGCCTCACATAGGCGGAAGAAGGCATTCGATAATTTTTCCTCCTTAAAAAAATAAAGTACGAACAAAGCATAAGTGTTAATACTATAAAAATATAACCTACCCACTGCATTATATGCAAAAATATAGAAGTCTTAAAACAAAAACGACTGCTCTTTCTTAATAGATTCTAGAGTTACCTAGACATCTAGATCTCAATATCCAATCTGACCTTTTAACACTCCTACCTACCCTTTATACACTTAAAATACAGCGACATACTCTAACAGAGGTGTCTACCGTTGATATTTAAATGACGTCACGGTCTGATGACGTCATACGATGTACATTACTGGTTTATAGCGTGATAGTATCAGTAACAGATGCGCAGGAGTCATTAGAATGGCTATAAACTGCTATTGGTCGAGTGGTCAGTGGAGGGAATGTCTACGAAAAGGTGATGAATTTGAGTCCTAAGTAAAGTGAATTGAGTTATAATTACTGAGTGTCATGATTTGAGACCTAAGGTTCAAATCCAGTGCGGAATAAAGAGTCAGGATATTGGATATTCGCAAGGGCTAGGCAGAGGTGCAGATTATGGCACTTGATACCACAGTACAATGTAACACTATTTAGAGTCCCATGGAGGTAATAGAAGATGAGCCTATTGCCATATACCGGGCACAATTCCAGACTCCGTGCTACTACTGAGATGAATCTAAGTCGACGCAAATTCAACAGATACCAAACCTACTTCAACACTTCACACCTCTTTCAAAATTAAGCAATGTGTTCATTGGTTCACCAAAACAATTTTCCAGAAACCTTTTACACTGGGAGTCGAACCAGTGACATATGGTGCGGCGGTTACCACGTGTCGCCCACCTGAGAGTGCACGTGCTACGGAGTTTTTGTTACCAATATTGTATCAACCGATTTGTAGGGCGGCGGCAGATCGGACACTGTTTTGTTTATCTTTTGTTAAAAGGAGTCTGGACTGATCACCTGTTCTGGAGAATTGTAAGTGTTTTTTCATGGAGAGTGGAGGAGAGCTTAGAGAGTTCTTCGCAGGTTACATGTTCCGTAGCAATTGAGTATATTATATTATATATGTAGTTCTGAAAAGAATCGAAGATTTATCTTGCGACTTTTTTTGTACAGAATATAAGTAAACGAGCAGATGGATCACCTGATGGTAAGCAATCGGCGTCGTCCTCGGACACCTGAAACACCAGAGATATCTAGAGGTATACAAATGCGTTAATGGCCTCTTGTGGATTAGGAATTTGAGTATTATTGAGGATTCGAGGATCGGGGAAATTGGGGAGGAAGGCAACGCAAGCTTTGTTTCACGTCGATTTTCTGTGAGGCCGTGGTATCACTCCCGTCGAGCCGGCCCATTCGGGCCGAAGGATGGCTCCTCCACACTAATATCAATACCTCTATACACTTAACCAAGTATCGAAATGTAATAGCGTAATAAGACATTTTTCAATAGAATCGTGCAGACATATACTACAGAAAACCCCTATTTCTTTTGGCTACACGTAGCAAGATGCAAACAGGCCTAATAGAGAACCTAAACTTTCTTTGCCGGACTTAAAAACCCGGTCAACCAACTGGAATAAATCAAAAGAGAAGACTTAGAAGAGAAAAATTAAAAAGAAAATACTCAAAGAGAACGTTAAAGATAACTATAAAATGCATCTAAATAAGGTCAAAATGACACTACAAACTGAATAAACAGGGGTAATTTCGAGGTCAAACGGTAAGTCACAAGTAGGGGTTGTACCCCATGGTATATGTTCAACAATTTTAATTAGCCACCACGAACCGTTGGCAACATATGTGCGGTGTATGGGGACGTTATGGGGTTCAAATAACTATGGTGAAATTGATAAAATTATTGTTTTTGGTCCGAAATTGATAGGGTTTTTGCAGTGGCTCGTGTTCGACAGAAACTTGTCCCGTTTGAATTATTGTTGTAAGGGTTTCTTGTGTTGCTCGCTGCGAGTCGGAAAAGTAGGTATAGTCAATAATGAAAATCTATATGTATGTTAAAAGTTGTATAGTCATCTTATACATCTGCAAAATAGGTAATAAGCTGTTTAAATTTTGAATAACCTCCTTTCTTGCTAGCAAATAGTAATCAATCCAATACTTTACTAAAACTTCTCTTTATAAAAATGTAACGCATGCTTGTTGTAAGAGTTTACTTTTATTTTTATCTAAATGTTAGGTTACCTACTTTTAGAAACTATTCTTAGAGAATTCCTAAGTAAATCTTTTCGCAATCAACCCCCGATCACAGAACAAATCCCGATCCCAGTAAGAACAATGCCACAAGAACACACCACTACCTGCGCCTGCGCTCAAATATTTTTTTCCAAAAATAATTCGACCATTTTTTACAACAGTGATACTCTGTCTATTATTTTGTCATAAAATACTCTATCAAAACATTTTTGGGGAAACGAGACGGATTCGGGTGATTAGACTAGTGTTTTTTTTTGGAAATAGCAAGCCGACACGGTTTGTGGGAAGATTAGGATGTGTGTAGAATATGGAAACGAAGTATTTAATACGGATGGACAATAGTGTAGGAAGAACAAAGTACTTAGTGTTTATGGATTCGTTTTCATCGTCATCATCAACTGGACGGCGACTCCAAGTTTCCACAGCTGAACAAACACCAGGGAGCGCACTCTTGAATCCAATTCCGATCGTTGGACATTGATATTGCGAAAATTCGTACTCTAGAGCTGCAACACTAGCGCCCATTAGATACGTTTCGCGTGGATATTGAGTGAACAAAATGGTATTGAGTTTGGCTCTATATTCCGTAATCTGAATGCTATTTTAACTGCTATTATTGTGGTTGTATAGTATTGAAATTAAATAATTATTGAGATTTTATTGCATTGAAATTAAATTGACATTAAGATTAGTTTCAAGAGTAAGCGCCCAGGTATTCTAATTCGGTGGCTTTAGGATTACGTGAAGATCGTTGTTAGGTCAGCAAAAATTGAGAATGCTGCTATTTGTCCTTTGGTAGCGATAGCTGTGGAGCCCATCACTGCTAGACCATGAAGCAGGAGCCTACGTAGACTAAGTAATGATGGATTAGAGATCACTATGAAACGCTATTGTCCTGATTTTTTTTTAATTTGATGGACCGATATTTGGTCTCTTTCTCTATTTATGTCTCAAAAATGTGTTAGTCTTTTAGTGGCCTCTTAAGACATCTGTAGGAACAGCTGGGTTGGTCACAAATAGTTAGTTGATAGTTATTTAGTTAGTTCTCATGTACCTATTACTTTCATTAATAATAACCCACCTTAACGCGCGACCCCATACTGCACAGTAGACAAAAGGTCTCCAAATTGCAAGAACTAGGGTTGGAAGCTCTCCGTCATTCGCCCTACTCACTAGACCTAAAAAGTAGTAACTTTTTCCAGAATTTGTATAACTTTTTGGCAGGAAAGCAATACCCGAGAGGCAGTACAAAATACCGTTCAAGAATTCGTGGCTTCCCGTCCAGCTGATTTCTTTAAGAAGAGCACCAATAAACTGCCGCTGCGTTGGCAAAGATGCATTGATTACGTGTGTGATTACTTCGATGAATACAAATCAAATCAAATTAATTGTTTTCAAAACAACTATTTTCTACCCCTCTGTACATACACAGTAAAATAGATGTTAATATTTATATGTTTACTAACCCAATTGTTTTGTCCTTTCAGCTACTAACTACTAAAAACTACCGCAAAGTTAAATTCGACGGTTCATTAAACTGCCGTCACCACTGACACTGGCAGTATAGTCGACAACATCATATTGGAGACTCGGCTACCATAGAAGAGAGAAAAATTAATTGGGCCCCCTGCAACCCCACTCTCATGACGAAACACAACGCAAGTATTGTTTCACGTCGGTTTTCTATAAGTCCGTGGTATCACTCCGGTGGAACCGGCCCATTCGTGCCGAAGCATGGCTCTCCCACACTTGGTAATTGTCTATCTTATAAGGGTCATCATACAAAGTCCATTATTTCGCAGTTCCCGGCGCCAACAAAGAATTTTTTGACGCTCCACTTAATTTTTTTTCAACCCCTTAACAAGGGCGACAAAAACGTGTCAACGGGTTGCGCAGGCGCCGATTTTGATGAACGACTAACGGATCAACATTATCTAAATGGATAAATAATGACAAAACATTTGTCACCTTATTTTGACCCTTTTGGTTATCCTTGACGGTTTTGATTTTGACACTTGGGTTAAAATTTTTGAAAGTAATTATTTTGAGATTAAAATCTGGATCGGCTTTAGTCCCCTTTCTGGTTAACTGAGGGAAGAAGTTCTTAAGTATCTATAGTGTTTATAACTTTTAATGTACTTGAAATATAATTATGTAATTTTTGCTAAACTATACTAAGTTTAGGTACTAGGTACCTACTTAAACTGGTTGCCTCATACGTCATACCTAATGCAGGACCAGTAGGTATGTAAATTTCATGAAGCTGATACGAAAAATCTTGTTGTTAGTCATTTGAAATGCAGTGAATATCAGTTAAATTCTATCAATATTATATATTTCTTATCCTTACGTTTTAGCTCTTAAGTTAACCAAAAGTTGAAGTGGCGCCATCTACTAAATATGTTTGTAAACTACATCACGAGTTTTAAAGTGTAGGTCATAGACTATACAATATATACTGGTGTAGGTACTGTCACTAATTCAAAACAATTCCAATAGATGGCGCTGTACTTAATTTTGTAAGGAAAATAAAACCAATCAATATTATTTGCTTAATAATAATGTAAATCAATTTATTTAGTTATGCTAATAATTACAATTAATTATTACTATTATAAATCATCTAAATGCCTCATTAATGTAACAAATGTTACAATTGCGTTGTTATAAACAGCGTTCTATAAGATCAGTCTCTTTTTGGAACTTGTAAATTAGGTAATTTGGTACCTAAACCTATGCTATGACGTCATAGAATTAGTATGTGAATCCTTTCTCTTCTAGTTGTTGTCTCACTTGCCTAGGATCTGGCCAGAAGATCATTAGAATTGTTGATGCTGGAACGAAAAAGAATAATTTATAGTACCTACCATTTCACATTTCAATGCCACTTAAAAATGAAATAAGCAAATATACTGATGCAATAATCGTTCAATAGGTCAAAAACACTCGAATGGAACTTTTTCTAGTAATTACTTTACAATAGTGGTAAGATTTTATGGAAATAAAACAGTTTCAACGATCACAAATGCCCAAAACGTGGCTCATACCATACACCCTGTTGTTCCGTTTGGGATTGAAACCCATAACACGCTCCAAAACAGCCTATCCCCTAACCACGGAACCAGATGGCAATAACAACCTAGGAAGAATAAAATACGGAGCCGCGGAAGACTTAACGGGTGGCCGGGTTCCGGCTCGAAGTGCAGGAGTAGGAACAGGGTGGTTTTTAGTCAGTAAGAGACTGGCACTACCTCCCGCCTCACCCGGGCGGGAGAAGTCATTGGATGATTTTCCCCCCTCAAAAAAAAAAGGAAGAAGAAAATGTTTTTTTTGTTGAAGTTCAAAAGGGCCTTTCTGGTCTAATTGAAATAAATGATTTTGACTTCACTTTTGACTTTTTGACTTTTGCTTCCAATTATATTTTTCTCACCAGCAGTAAAGACTCCGAAAGCAGCGAAGGCCTCGTGGCAGTGCAGATCTAGCGTGGCCCCCAGGAAGTTGGAGCCGACAGCTGCACCCGTCCGGCCCACCATGTACATCACACACATCGCCATAGCCCTGTGGATAATCTTATACTATTATACTTAATCGCGCGAACGCGCTAATCTCCGTAACTACAAGTCTGATTTTAATAATTCTTTTTGTGTTGGATAGTGCATTTATCGAGGATGGCTATAGGCTATAAAACATCACGCTACGACCAATAGGAGCTGAGCAGAGCGTGTGAAACCGCGCGAAAGTAGCTAGTATGAAGAGGTTTGAAAATATGACTGCCTCGTTGGCCGAGTTTTAAACCGCTCCCTTCAGCCGTTTGGAAGCTATTAAGTGTAACAAAGATACAACAAACTCACTAATTAAAAAAGATTTTAAGTTCAGTCGTATTTAGCAGCCGACAATGAAATCTAAACCGCTGTTCTTGAACCCAATGTGAAAACTCTCAGATTTTTACAATATTTTTTCTATTTTATTTAGCACTAATTTCAACATCCCACCACCTCCCACCTCCAAGGCTACTAACCTGTCGCGGAGAACCTAACGGGTTATCGGGGCTCCGGCTCGAAGTGCAAAAGTAGGAACGGGGTGGTTTATAGTCAGTAAGTCTGACACTCTCCCGCCTCACCTAGGCGGGAGAAGATATTTGATGATTTTTCCCCCTTAAAAGAAAAAGGCTACTGACCTCAACTGCGTAGGGAACACATCGACGGCAATAGCCGCCAGGATGGAGGCAGCACACCCTGAGCACAGGCTGATGATGAGCAGCACCGTCGCCGCTATACCCTCGGGCACGAACGCAGCTCCAATCGTCGCGATGCCACAGATAAACATTATACCACCTAGAATAAACAAATATGTATAATATTGTTGTTTTACATACTTTTTTCATTCATATGATATTGCGCTCTGCCTACCACTTCGAAGATTAAATGGCGTGAGTTTATGATGATGATTAACTTTTTAGTTTCCATTTGTGTATTCACATCGTTCATGAAAATGTTCAGCTTCTTAGGAATGTGTGCAAGAGAGAAATTCGTTTCTATTTTGAAGACGCCAGGAATGCAGGAAGACAAATGAAACAATATCTAATTTGATTTGATCATGGAAAATAATAAATAGAGAATTAGAAATTAGAAATTAGAAAATAATTACGTCTAATCTACTTTGTCTTTCATATCATCGAACGCCATCTAGTGTCTAACTTCAGTACTAATCATTATTTTAAATTTCAAGTACCTACTCAACAAAATTTAAGTTATTTTCAAGTATAATAAAACTCTGTAGCCTTTCAGCCACGAGTTTATTCAAAAAATACCAGTTATGTTATTAGTCCCATAGGGGCGCCGATTTCTCGACTCCTAACTTCATGACGGCGACCGCGGCAGACCCCAACCAAACGCATGTAACGAAACCATAGCGCGATTCAGGAAAACGACGGAATTGTACAACGCCATCTATCGAGCGCGTAGACAACTCGTGTACCTACTTATTCATATTGTTTTTTAATATTTTATTGATGAATAAGTAATTTAATTATGACATAATTTAATTATTTATCTTTTTATTGCCTCTGCCAATTCAAATAGAAGATAGACGTAATGATTATGCATGTACTTTTCCGATTTTATATAGTTAATTTTGGGTCAGAGCCGACAGCTTTGAAAACAGTAAGAAGAGCAGATAATTTGGAACAGCATAATACCTATACTGAATAGAAGAACATAATTAGCAAAAATAATAATAAAGAAAATTCGAGTATTCAGAAGTACAGGCCAATTTTACAGGAAACGGTTTTGCATAATTCTGATTATGGTAAAAAACAAAGTTGTGAGTTATTTTTTTATTCCTATTTCATTCTTTGTTGTTTGAGTTTTTAAAACTACTTTTATTGAAAGAGACCAATACCTCCCAGAACCTAAATCTACTATAGATACAAATACAACCCTGAAAAAACCGAAATTCTGAAGTCCGGCTTGTTCCAGGTACATGAGTAACTACTTATATATCTTCGATCCCATAATTTAATAAATCAGAACATAGATATAACTAGAGAAGAAAATGAATAATTTCCACTTTCCTCGGTGATTTTATTGCAAGAGACAAAATGATTCTAGTCTTTTAACGACACAAAAAGACTGGACAATTAGAAGTAACCCACTTGATAGGCACCTCAGTAAATTTTACTAAAAAGTAATTAATTTAATGTGAAAGAAAATTTTAAGGCGACCTGTCCGTACAATTTCTAATTATAAGTTCCTAATCACGAATCTACCTTAAGCAAATGTGCTAATTAATAGTCAAACCTTCTCCCGTCTCCGTGTGTGAAGGGGCCTTTGGCCTCAACAGCGGGCACATAATTGAAATAAAACTTTAATTAAACTTACTGTATAACGTTTTCTTGCCAACTTTGTTGATGAGGAACCCTATGGCGAGGTATGTGAGGGCGAACACCGCCCCCATGGACATGGAGATCGGGAACACTGCCACTGACACCTCAGACTCACAGGCCGCTGATTCACTGTGCAGCTGGAATTGATAATGGTAACATTATTAGGGCGTTTTGTTTATTGGATGAATACTAAATAGGGTTTGATACTAAAATACCATGTCTTCAGTATGATTTTTAGGTTTTTCAGTATGATTAGGTGTTCTACAGTTGAAGACCGCATTTCTAGAATAATAACTATCCTTATTGTCTTGTACTCAAAGACCACTCAATTGTAAGACATGTTTGAAAACAATTTTTTCACTATAAATTCATTGTATAATGATAGAGAACATAAAACTGAGTAGTCTTTCAGTAATGACGTGACCGCGTGAAAGACTCTTTGTATCTCGCCATGATTAGTAATTGTAGAGAGCGCTACAGTGCTGCTTATTTTGAAGAAGCAATCAATGATATCGACAACTATAAGCACTATAATTCACGGTCATTATAAGCATTTATTCGTTTCAGGAAATAAGAGCAGGAAAAAAACGTATTTAAAATTACGTAGTAAAACAAGTTAAGTAGTACTTACGCTTGCATTTACGAATTTGTCATGTATAATCTGGCATATCGTGATACTCTTATTGGTATTACTTCTCAAAATACTGTTCAGTATGTCTGGGACCCACACGTATAGACCACTCGATCTGGAAAAGAAAAATCCCTTATAACTAACCCACATTAAATTCTATGTATATTTATAAATTAGAATTATCTCTATTAACTTTATGTTACATGTAAAAACACACACAATCACTAGTTTCGTAAGTGAGATAGTACAGGGGTTCCTATACGAGCGCCTGATGGATATGCCATAGCAACGACATGTGCTTGGTATAATCTTAGCTATTAGGTAGTTTTTATTATTTATTTTTTGTATGTACTGCTCCGATTGATGCGGAATAAAAAATGCTGATTGACGAAACTTCTTTATTTTGAGGGACTTTTTTTAAGGGGAGAAAATCATCGAATGACTGCTCCCGCCTGGGTGAGGCGGAAAGGAGTGTCAGACTCTTACTGACTAAAAACCACCCCGTTCCTTCTCCTGCACGTCGAGACGGAGCCCCGGTAACGTTAGGTTCTCCGCGACATTTTGTGGGACTTGAGGTCTGGTTATGGAGTTACAGCACTGGTAACTGGTGGCACCAGCGCGCCAGCGCTGCCGGTGGCAGCACTGGCAGCGCTGGCAGCGCTGGCGCGTGGGTCTCTCGCCCCTCACTCCCGCGCGGTGGTTCGTTCGATTCGAACGTGTTGTCGTGTTAATAAAAAAAAATGTTATATACATAGTACAACTTACACCATGAACACTGCAAACATGGATATGTGTGATATAAAGACGCAGCGCAAGAGCGGCACCTTGAACATGAGGCCAACATTCTTCACAGCACCCGCAAATCCTCCCACCTTCACCTCCTCACTACCTGTAATCAGCTGCTTCACCTAGAACGTATATTATAAAGTTTATTATTAACATAACATCACGCCTTTTATCCCCGAAGAGGTAGGTAGAGGTGCACATTATGCCACTGTACAATTTGACACCCACTTTTCACTATTTATGTTATGAGTCCCATGTAATAGGGGATGAGCCTATTGCTATATACCGGGCACCATTCCAGACTCCGTGCTACTAATGAGATTTTTTAAAAAAACACAGTAATTCTTTGCCCGACCCGGGAATCGAACCCGAGACCCCTTGCCCGGTAGTCACACTTGCGACCACTCGGCCAACGAGGCAGTCAAAATTTATTATTAGAAAACACTAATTTTAAATTAGAGCGTATTCCGTCTTTAAAAGCTGGCAACGCAGTTCATTGGGACTCCTTTGGTGTTGTCTATGGGCGGTGCTGATCGCTTTCCATCAGTTGACCGGTTGCTCGTTTACCCCCTAAAAAACCCAACATCAGTTCATTTTTGTTATGGAATAGGAGGCAAACGAGCAGACGGATGACCCGATAGTAAGCGATCAGCGCCGCCCATGGACACCCGCAATATCAGAGGAGTCACTGGTGCGTTGCCAGCTTTTGCAAAGGGAATACGCTCATTATGAAATTACATCAATAAACTACTTTGATACTCACAGGAAAATCTTCCATGGTCTGTCCTTTATTGTTCCAGGCGTACATCATAGCCAAGACTGGCAGGGCAGCATCAGGGCCCTTAGCAGCGAGGAGGTACCGAGGACTTTCAGGTAGGAACAGCAGGATGACTGCAGCAGCCAACCCAGGGGCACACCACGACCAGACGAACGCCCGCCAAGGGACTATCTCCATGTAAGCGAAGCTGAACGACCATTTTCCTGGTATTATTATCCAGGCAAGACCTGGAATGGGAGAATAGTGATTTGAGTGTGGTTTTCTTAAGTGGAAAGTTATCGTCATCACATCTTTCATAACATAACAGAGGTGCACATTCTACGGCACTTAAACATCTCAAAGAGCCATCAGACCATCACGGATGGGGCCCAACAGGGCTGATGCCGACTCAGAGTCGCGGAGGACCTAATGGGTTACCGGGGCTCCGGCTCGAAGCGCAAGAAAAGGAACGGGGTGGTTTTTAGTGAATAAGAGTCTGACACTGCCTCCCGCCTCATCCGATGATTTTCCCCCCATAAAGAAAAAGAAATACGGTAGGTACTTAATGCCACTGTACAACGTAACACCCATTTTTCACTAATTATGTCATGAGTTCCATGTAATAGAGGGTGAGCCTATTGTCTTCATCTATATCATCACATCTTTTATTGTCCAAAAGGGGTCTTAGTCACAAAGTCTCTTATTTTCAAAGTTTATACAGTTAGAACACCAGTGTAATAGCTGGGACAAGCCTAGTTCGGAATTAAATATCCAATTTTAGAAGTAAACATGTTAGGTAAGGAACTAAACACCCGTTGTAGAGCAATCGCGCTTGAATTCAAGTGTCGTGTGAGCAAGTATCATTTGTGTAAGACTTGAAGTGTTCTTTTTAATTGTGGTAGTTTTTGATGGTGAATTAAATAGTCAATATCATCATTTTTAAGTAGGTAGTAATAGTAATCTTGCAAATTAAATATGCTTATGTGCTCTCGCACAATACTTTTTCAAACGCAGTAGGTAAGGAAAATACTTTAATATTATCAATAAACTGTTTATCTATTGAAATAAAAATATAATTGAAACCAATAAATAAGCTATCATTAAGTTAAGTAATAACAGTTATTAGTACATTCTGAGATAACTAGGAGTTCAAGTTAACTCTAAATGAGATAAAATTATTCTAGTTTATTATACAAGGGTATCTGCCTAGATACATAATATTTTGAGCACTATTTTCGATGAAATATCTAGGTTAATAGTATTCTGACTGGTTCTAATTAGATTAGTTGTTGTTGTTGACGTGATTCTTAAATTACAGTCTCCATCATATACCTACACCAATCTGTCAAAATTCATTGGATTTGTATCGGCCACTTTGTATAATTAACCTATCTATCTATCTATAGATTTGCTTACTGTACATATTGTATGGAGCTTATGTCATGAGCAAATCTACAGATAGATAGGTTATAGGAAATGGTCGTAAGTCTATAGCCTATACAATAAAGTTGATGATATAATAGAGAAATTTGACAGAAAAGGAGAGGTTGACCTGCTAGCCATCGTACTTGTGGTTTTTAGCCAGTAAGACTCTGACACTCCCTCCCGCCTAACGGCCTAACCCAGGCGAGAGCAGTCATTCGATGATTTTCCCCCCTTAAAAAAAGCCATCGTACTGTTTTCGAGGAATATAATTATCCAATGAGTTATCCGAGTGAGGCGAGACAAAGCTTGATTATAAAATAATGTTTTCTGAAAAATTTTGAAGAAAGAAGAAGAAAGAAAAAGCATTTATTTTGGCGCAGAACACACATAACATAATTAAAAAATAAAAATAAAATAAAATAAAAGCTAAAAAATTAAAAATGAACATCATCAGCTTCTGGTTAATAAATGTTTAGGTCCTTTTAATGTCCTCAATGAATAAAATTATTTTGATTTCAATAGTTTCTGAATGATGGCGATATTAAGCATTGCTTACGACTACAAATTATCTTTGTTTTGGGGCTACTACCAATTAGAGTTGTACAAAAAATGTTACACACAAAAATTACTCTAATTCTGTCTTACAAATAAATATGAGAACAAACCTGGCAATATGATGAAGGAGAAGGAGATGAAGGCAGAGCTCCACGCTATGGCTGCAGCTCGCTTGGAGTTTGCATGCATCTCTCCCAGGTACGCATACACTGTCGCACTGGACGCTGATATCCTGGAATTGTATAGGTTTCTTTTAAGTATATATAATATTAAGTGGTTTTTAAGTGTGGTAGAGCCATGCTTCGGCACGAATAGACCGGCTCGACTGGAGTGATACCACGACCTCACAGAAAACCGACGTGAAACAACGCTTGCGTTGTGTTTCGTCGTGTGAGTGAGGTTTGGAGGCCCAATTACACCACGGCTTGTCGATTATGAGTGCAAAACAACAATATTTGTTATTAAACTATGCACCCAATTCGTAGATCCGAAAACAGACCAGTCTTACAAGTGTATCATAAATAGTATTTTATTGCAGTCTCGCAAAAATATTGACCTACCTTAACACATGAAAGTTAAGCAAGATCAGTGACCTTTTGGAGTTAGATAAAAATATGCACTTGAACGAAACTAGTTGTAAGTCGACCGCCAAACTGATATCAAACTGGTTATTTTCGAAACTATTTCGGATTAACATGAATAAATTTATTAATTGACATGCCAATTTAATTTTAATAAAAATTAAGAAACGCATCAACAATTTACGGCTAGGCCGATTTAAAGAATCCGAAACGTAAGATTGTGGTTTAAGTCTTATTTTCTTCTGTGTCGTGGGTGCGTTTACAAACATACAAGTTCACACACACATAACACCCAGATTCGGAATAACAATTTGTGGATCACACAAAGAGTTGTTCCGTGCGGGAATCGAACTCGCGACACGTTGCGCGGCAGCAAATTGCTCAGCCACCGCACCAACTGTACAGTCAGTCAATTGGCCTACATAAGCCTCCCATGTATTTGTAGAGCACGTCTTATACCTGGTAATGTAGGTTGGTTGAAAATGAGGCAATCCAATAAGATAGTCCTATATCATTTACTAAATAATCAACATGATACTTTATTACTCTGACATTAAACTTAGGTCACTAACCTATATAATAAATCTAACTACTGAAACAAATAGTTGCTAATCACATTAGTTAGTCTACAATTCACGATTAAAATGTTGCTTAATTTCATTAGTTACTAAGTCAGTTTACATAATCTTACATATTAGGGTCATGATAACAAGATACATACATAACATCACGCCTTTTATTCCCGAAGGGATAGGCAGAGGTGCACATTACGACACTTAATGCCACTGTACAATGTATCACCCACTTTTCACTATTTAACAAGATACCACTATTTAACATATTATTTTTTTATAGCATAAGCCGGTAAACGAGCTGACGGATCACCTCATGGTAAGCAATCGGCGCCGCCCATGGACACTCAAGTGAAACAAGTGAAACAAGTGAAACAAGTGAAACAAGTGAATTTATTTCTGCAAATAGGCTACAAGGCAGCACTTTTACACGTCAATTTTATCAAGCGAACGATGAGGTCGACATTTCCTAACTGACTACTCTGAGAAGAAATGCCGAAACAAACTCAGAGGTCTGTCTCTTTTAAAGTCCAGACAATATGTATAACATGTGTGAGAACCGTGCCAGTTCTTTCTGTAGTGGGCTTTTGAGGAAAGAACCACAACAGTTTGAGCGGACCCGTTCTGAAGGCAGTACGCATGTGTCGGTTTACAGTCAGCTCAATTAACAGGTGAGGCTGACTGATTCGACGAACAATACCAACCTAAAGAACATTTGCGTGGGTCGCACAAATACTCAAACTGTCAGAAAAAGGGTAATTAGAAAAGAAATGGTGAGGCAAAGTCTCGCACGGTCCTAGCACTAACAATTGTTAAATAAAAAGTAAATGTCAAGTTAGAACAACATATGAAAAACAATGTCACATTAAAACAATAATGTCAAATTGCATATAAAAAAAGAAATGTAACTATATGTTACAAACATGTCAACATGACCTGTGTGGACGTTACAGCAGCTTATTCCCAAGCCAGACTATCATCTAGGTAGTCTTTTATTTTATAATAAGCTTTACTATAAAATTTATCTTTAATGACATTTTTAAATTTATTTAGACTCAAATTTTGGATATGGCTGGGAATCTTATTGTAAAAGCGTATACTCTGACATCTAAACGAACCACTTATTTTCTTTAGTCTAGTAGTGGGAACAACATATTTGTCTTTATTTCTCGTGTTTATATTATGTATATCACTATGTTTTTTAAATAAACTTTTGTTTTTATGAGCATATACTAAATTTTCATAAATGTATTGAGAAGCAACCGTCATTATATTAATTTCTTTAAATAGTTCCCTGAGAGAGTACCTCGGACTAAGATTATAAATTGATCGAATGGCCCTCTTCTGCAGAACAAAGATAGATTGAATGTCAGCAGCATTCCCCCATAAGAGAATACCATATGACATAACACTATGAAAATAACTAAAGTATACTAATCGCGCTGTATCTACATCGGTTAGATTTCTAATTTTTTTAACGGCATATGCTGCAGAACTGAGCCTTTTCGATAACTTATTTATATGTGGAGCCCACTGGAGCTTAGCGTCTAGGGTTATACCTAAAAAGACAGTAGAATCTACAGGGCTCAACTCCTCACCCTTAATGAGCACGCTGGTTTTCACATGTCCAACATTTGGTGTTGTAAATTTAATGCATTTAGTTTTAGTTCCATTTAGTAATAGGTTGTTGGCATTGAACCAGCGTACTATCTCCGAGAGAGCACTGTTCACATTATTAATAACTAATTGTCTACGTTTAAGTTTAAATAATAACGAAGTATCATCCGCAAACAGTACTATCCCGTGGTTATCCCTTACAAGGTAAGGTAAGTCATTTATATATATAAGAAACAAAAATGGGCCGAGAATTGACCCCTGCGGAACCCCCATCCTGACAACAGACCCGGTGGAGACTTTTCCGTTTATTTCGACTCTCTGAATCCTGTTACTCAAGTATGAGGTAAGAAGATCCAGAGATTTACCTCTTATTCCATAATGGGATAGCTTCCTGATCAATGTATCATGAAGGACACAATCGAACGCCTTGGATAAGTCACAAAAAATGCCCAAAGCGTCGCTTGAGTCCTCCCACGCGTCATATATGTGATTAAGAAGTTCAACACCGGCATCAGTTGTTGAACGACCCCTGGTAAAACCAAACTGGTTACTATGTAACAATTTATTTCTATTAAAAAATCTTTGCATTTGATTTAGAATAATTTTTTCAAAAATTTTACTAAATGTAGGTAGTACTGAAATAGGTCTAAAGTTAGTGGGGTCAGAAGTACTACCTGATTTAAATAACGGAGTTATTTTACTATTTTTCATAAGATCAGGAAACACACCGCGGTCGATACAATTATTAAAAATTAGAGCTAATAGAGGTGCTATAATAGCTATAACAGAGCTGGCAATGTACACAGAATTTCCCCACAAATCTGCAGTCTTTTTCTTATTTAAGGTATGGAAGGTTTTGACGATATCTGTACAATCTATGTGTTCAAAAGAGAACCCTATGCTGCAAGCTATAACGTTTTCTTTTAGTAAAGATTCTGCAACAGTGGGAGATGAATTCAATGACTTAGTCGTAGATATAGGAATGTCCGAAAAGAAACTTTCAAATGCAGCTGCAACTTCTGCGTCTGATTTTATTACATTATTATCAATTAGAAGACTATATTCATTACTTTTCTTTTTGGACCTTCCCGTCTCACTGTTAATAATACTCCAGGTCGCTCTGATGACATTGGTACTGTTCTTTATTTTGGAGCTCAAGTACCGCGACTTTGCAATAGCGCAGACCTTTTTAAACAATTTAGAATATTTCCTAACATATACATTAAATTCGATTGTGTTAATAAATGTCCTCTCACTATATAGCTCATAGAGACGTTTCCTACTTTTATGGATGCCAGTGGTTGCCCATTCGTTGAAAGACACATTGCCTTTAACTGGTATAGTTTTAGGTGTAAAGGTAGACTTAAACTCGGTATGGTACATATTAAAAAAATCATCATACAAATTATTAGGATTTTTATTCATTAACAAAGGTAATTTTTGAGTGACTTTAGATTTGAAGGTTTCAATGCGTCTTTCAGTCTTTGGGTTGACAGTGATAAATGGTTTAGACATTGTATTTACATGATTTGTTATTGAAATTAACTGTCCGCAATGATCTGAATCAAGCAATGATATAATTTGTTTCTTAATTGGTACAATGTCAGTATAAATATTATCCAGGCAAGTGGCACTAGTGGGAGTTATCCTAGTGGGCTCCAGAAATAAGTTCGCAAGGTTAAATGAGGCAAATAAACTTACAATTTTAGTGCTTAGACTAGAATTCTCTAACAAATTTACATTAAAATCGCCACAGGTAATGATGAATTTATTTGAGCTACTGAGTTTATTTAATACTTCATCTATTACTGTTTCAAAATAGTCATACAAACCAGAAGGTGGTCTATACACACTTAAAACAATAAACCGCTCTAATTCCACACAAGCTATTTCAACAGTGCGTTCAACAGAGTAACTAACTATATCCTTGCGTTCTTTAAATTTAAGTTTGTTATTTATTAATATTAGTGAACCACCATGTATAGCGTTCTCCCTGCTGAACGAGCTACCAATCTGGTGATTACCAAAATTGAACATTAGTTGATGAGATTTCAACCAATGCTCAGTAATACACAAAATGTCAACATTATTACAATTCAAAAATAACTCTATTTCTAGTTCCTTGCTCATAAAACCTTGAATATTTTGGTGAACCAGACTGATAACACTACTGTTTGATTTGCAAGAGGTTCCCTCTATTGTCTTACTTTTTAATTTAAATTATTAGAAATGTCAATATTTATTGAATTATTATTAATAATGTCAATATTTGAAAGTTGCTCAATAGGAGCAACCTGTTTAGCCAAGTTCTTGGCTGTAATATTTAAAAAATATGATAGCGACACCGCTATTTGTCTTATATAATATTTTGAAAGATAGTACCTATCTTTAGTCATATATAAATTTTTGCCAACTAAATTGTTGGTGTCCATTACATGTATGTTGCTATTATTACATAAATTATAGATAGCAATATTTAGTTTAAATCTTAAATTGTTTTCTTCCTGTGGCAAGCTATTACTATAAGGTAATGTAAACAAAATGATCTGCTTTATTTTAAGCTCTGTAAGTGAATTATAAAATTGCAATAATTTTTTTTTATTTAAACTACCTCTATTTCCACACATAATTATGAGGGTAGAATCTTGTTTAAAACTATAATTGATAATTTTTTCCAAAATATTACTAAAAGAATATCCGGGCATACAGTGATTCATTATTGATTGTCCAGGACAAATATTTGTCAGTAAAGAACCTAAGTTCTTCCCAATCTCATCACTGAAGATTACAATGTTATTGTTGTTTGTACTGTTACAATGGCTAGGAATCAATGAACTGGCACCTTGAGGTAGGGTGGAATCACATGCCGGCATAGAACAAGCAGGCAGTACATCATCAGAATGACACTTCTCACACTGGTTTTCCTGTGACCGCACTAACTCATTCATTGCCAACATGTATTCCCTCATTTGGTTTTCAGATGCACTATATTTATTGGTCATGGTGTGCAACTTTGATGTTAAGTGGTCTAGTTCTGATTTTAAGTTTTGGGTGTCAGTGTCATATCTCCTATTCTGTTGATTTAATTTAATAGAATAAGTATTAAGTTGGTTTAGAAGCCGGAATCGTTCTTTGTTTAATTTTACATTTTTTATAAAGAACTTTTGTCTTTTAACTAGCCTGTTAGTTTTAGTTATGTATTTATTAATTTTTATGTACTTTTTTAATCTTTTATTACTACAAAAAAGTGTTTTTGTAGAATGACAAGAATTACTATCACAAGTTAAGTCAATAGTTACTGGATTCAAGTCTACATGTTGTGATTGAGAAGCACGGGCTGACACCAACTCACTGAAGAGATTGTTATTCAGACTGGCCGTGATATTAAGATTTAATGTTTCTAAATGACTAATTTGACTATTGGCCTCATGTAGCTGTTGTTCTAATAGAGCTTTGTCATGTAATGTTTGTTCATACTCATTGCTACATTGACTGAATCCATCCACAACAAATTGGAGCCTATCCCGGGTCTCAATAGCTTCGGTGTGTTGAATATGTAACCGAGCCATTTCAGATTTCAGCTTCTTATTATTATTTAAAATATCCAAGAATTCCCTCTCATTCTCATCTCTCTCCCTCAACAGTTGATCACACAACTCCTTTGATGCCTTTAATTCGCTCAAAGCCAGGTTGAGTTTAGACTCCTCTTGGCGAGCATGGGCTTTCCGAGTAAGAATCATTGTAGAAGTTAAGAGGAAGAAACAGTAAAAGAAACTTTAAGAATATGAAAATGAAAATGAAAAGGTGAAGCTAATTTAGTCAAGAAACTGCTAAATAAGTTAGGTAGATAGACAAAGGATTTGTGTCACCAACCTCAAAGAGGTTATGTTTATTAATAATTTTGAATTTTATTGGTCTAATAACTGAATTTTAGTAATTGATATCGTATTAAGCACGAATATTATCATACAAAATAAGCAATTTCGCCAAAATAATACTGTATTTTACCTGATATCGAGATGACAATGTAGCAAATCCTTAACGCCGGTAACCGTAAATTTTTCAACTTCACCAATTTCACAATAATTACTTTAATATTTTAAAAACTTATAGTTTGCACTATACAATTAATATTTCCTCAGTGTTGAGATAGATTTTAGGGCATAAAATAATAAAAAACAATAATTATTTTACAAAATAACAAGGACAACAACAAATCAGCTGTTTGAAACACCAAGGCATTACTAGTGCGTTACCGGCCTTTAGAGATTGGGAATTTGAGAATTGTGGAGGATTCAGGGATTCGGGAGACGGGGACTAGGAAAAATAAGAGTCTGACACTCCCTCCCGCCTCACCCGGGTGGGAGCAGTCAATCGATGATTTTCCCCCCTTAAAAAAGACCACGCGGTAATAATAATAGTAAAATATGTGAATTAATTTGTTTCGCAAAAGTATAATATACCTTGTATCCTTGCAGTACAAGTGCAAACATATAGAAGTTATAATAAACATTACACACGACTTTTTCAACGCATCCATAGGTAAATGACATTGTAAGTTTAATAGTCGTGATAATAACTTAGATAGTACTTAGTACGTGCATCGAGCCGATGCTTTTTATGTTACTGTGTATTCTAATTGTAATGCAAATTTCTTTTTAGTGTTAAAGAAGAAATTTGACTCAGTAGTAAATTGTTATTATTATATTTTTATGGGATAAGCCGGTAAACGATCAGACGGATCACCTGATGGTAAGCAATCGGCGTCGCCCATGGACACCTGGAACACCAGAGGCGTTACAAGTGCGTTACCGGCTTTTTGAGGATTAGGAGTTTGAGGATCGTTGGGGATTCAGGGATTGGGGAGATTGGGGAAGGGAAGGTTAATTTGGCCTCCGGTAACCTCACTAACACAACGCAAGCGTTGCTTCACGTCGGTTTTCTGTGAAGCCGTGGTATCACTATTCACTCCGGTCGAGCCGGCCCATTCGTGCCGAAGCATGGCTCTCCCACACTTTTAAATATATTATTATAATATTTCTATTTCTACGTCATTTCTCTGATCACTTTCTCGTTTACCGTTTCAATTATTATTAATAAATTTTATATGCTGTGGGATGTACGCAAACAAGGAATTAAAAAAAAATTGGTGATAATGAACTCCTGTGAACTGATTGATATTCTAATCAACTATCTAAGACATTAAAAATTTTTCTTTGGGGACTTTGAACCCTAATATAATTACGAATACAGACCAAGGGAACACCATGCCGTGACGACAGAACAATACCAAAACTAGACATTTTGTAGACAACTTATCGTTCAATAGTGGACAAAAAAGATAAATAAAGATAAATAAATAAAAGATAAATAAATAAATAAAACCAGCAGGTCTTCTACTTACAAGCATCCAGTGAGGAACCTGAAGACTAGGAGCATCCAGACGTTGGTGGCGAACGAGGAGATGATGGAGAAGACGGCAGACAAAAGGATGGCGGGCAACATCACTGCACGGCGACCGATCCTGTCTCCCAGGTAACCCCACAGGAAGGAGGTACTGATTATACCTGTGATAATAGAAATAAAACTATAAAAAAGAAGTAATGGGAGGTTTGTGGATTCAAAGGCAGATTAATAACACACAGATGTGACACAAAGGTCATATTTAAATGTTCGATAAACTTATACTTCCAAGTCTCGCTTTTTATTTAAAACAAGAATTGCCATAAATACCTTTTTGATTATAAGTTATTAAGTAAAGACTATCCCACCAAAAACATTCTGTAAAAAACTAGCCAAGTCTCGATGGAGCTGCTAGTTTATCGCTAAAAAGTAATGAAATATAGCAAAGTCGAGCCAAGTCTAAGGTTCCTTATTGCAATTTCTTTATTATTATAGCTAATGCTATGTGACTTTGCCGTTGAAGAGCATAAAACCAGGTGCTGCATGTCGCCAGAACCGCTACCTATTGACGATGGAAAATTGGTACTTGGAAAACATGATGATACCAATTTTGGATTTTAAGTATGTATGTAATTATAGCGTACTGGATGATGACTGCCTCGTTGGCCGAGTGGTCGCATGTGCGATTGCCGGGCAAGGGGTCTCGGGTTCGATTCCCGGGTCGGGCAAAGTATTACTGGGTTTTTACAAAATTCTCAGTAGTAGCACGGAGTCTGGAATTGTGCCCGGTATATGGCTCACCCCCTATTACATGGGACTCATGACATAAATAGTGAAAAGTGGGTGTTACATTGTACAGTGGCATAATGTGCACCTCTGCCTACCCCTTCGGGGATAAAAGGCGTGATGTTATGCATGCGTATGCATGGATGACGAAAATTTCTGCGTTCTGGTCTTATCCAGAGGTTCTCAAATAGGGCCTTGCGGCGAAATGGTTCCAGCAAAGGATGGTACGGCTGTGTGTGCTTCGCGCTCGACTTGGCGGGGGCACTGCCGTGCCACCAGATGTTCAGCACTAGATAATATATATATGATGATGATGATGATGATACTGAACTGTAGATCTTGATATTCTATTGTTCCATTTTCTATAGTGGGCCGTTTCCATCCACTGCTGAAATGGAGTCTTGGAAACTTTTGCCAAGCGTAAGCCACTGAGGTTTATTTTTGGCTCTACAGTTTTCACATTCTTATACATATTTCCTTCATTTACTGATACTAAGAATGGAATACCATTTTTAAGCTTGTGTTGGAGATACTAACTTAGAACAACCAAGATTTAAGTGTGGGAACTTAAATCTTGTTTGTTCTAAGTTAGTATCTCCATGCCATGCTTCCGCACGAGCCATGCTTCGGCACGAATGGGACGGAGTGATACCACGGCCTCACAGAAAACCGACGTGAAGCAACGCTTGCGTTGTGTTTCGTCGTGTGAGTGAGGTTACCGGAGGCCCAATTTCCCTCCCCTTCCCTAATCTCCCCAATCCCTGAATCCCCAACGATCCTCAAACTCCCAATCCCCAAATGGCCGGTAACGCGCTTGTAACGCCTCTGGTGTTCCAGGTGTCCATGGGCGATGCCGATTGCTTACCATCAGGTGATCCGTCTGCTCGTTTACTGGCTTAGGCACAAAAAATACCAAATTAGTTAAATCGTCAAATTAGTGTCAGAATTAAACCAGTTCATCAAACTACGAAATTCCCATAAATCCATTTTTATATTTCGCAGAAATTACTATCTCGCACTCTTATTTCGTGGCAAACCTAATCAGGAACTCTCCACGTGTATTTAATCACCAATCCATCATAGTAGTTTCATTATATTTTTATCTCCTTTATTATTAGATATATCAGTTTATTGACATCAATATTCAAACTGGTATATCAGTTAGTACCAGTGCCCATAACTAATCTTTTTGAACAATTTTATCTCTGACAGACAGTTATATCTTTACAATAAATCTTATATTTAACTATGAATGTAAGTATCAGATAATGATATGAATCAGTATGATAGTACATGCATTGTAATTATCATAATGCGTCAAAAAATGTAAATATTTCATTGTTACGTGAATATGTAGGTGATTGTGTATTTTGTGTCAAGTTTTCGTCCGTTATGGTGTTATATGAATAAGTTTTTTTAACTAAAAATCGTGGGTTATTCACGTGAATATACTGAGAAAAGCTGTACTAGTTTCGAACCACAGAGGGGTTCTTCCACATGAGCAGCGTGCGCGGTCGCGGCGATGTCGCGCAGCCTACTGACTACTGTATGTCTCACGATAGTTATTATAAAAACAATTTTTTTAAATATTATTCTGCTATTTATGACTGTCTCTAGTCTTTTTCTTACAGATTTTGAGTACCTGGAATAAATAATTTATTAGAATAGGTGCCAAGGTGCATAAATCTCCTTTACTTAGATTTTTAACCGACTTCAAAACCAGCAGGATGTTCTCAATTTGACCTATGTGTATGTATGTTTATATTTATGTATGTATGTACCTATGTTTATGAGCGATTATCTCACCATTAGCTGAACTGTTTTTGATGCGGTGTTGATTAATTATCTGACTAAAAAAGAGGGAGTTGAAATCGGGTTTTCTAAACGCGTTTTTAAATTATTATAATTTTTAACCTCTTCTTTCGTTTTTCGCTTGATCGTCTACTCGCCATGATGGTCGGTTTGTTAGACTATTGATACTTATTCTTTTGTTCCACCATCTTCTAGTTCCTTTGTGATAAGAGAAGAACCGCCATACACCGAGTCTAAGATTCATCAAAGATCTTAGAGGTATAGTATACTTCTATATCTTACCAATAAAAGCAGCAGCGTTAACCAGCCCTTTGTCTTTGCTGGTGAGTTGCAGCTCGCACTCTGCTGCTGTGATGGCATAGCTCATGCCGACAGACTCCATGGAGACGTTCAGCATTATCAGACCGCTGGTGAATAGCACCAGGTGGTTCAGTCTGCCGTGTCCTGAGAATGTGAATGGAAAATAGTTTCATCTTTTATTACAGAACTTAAGGCACCAATAGATTACCAGCGCAAGGCCCTTTTTATTTTTATTTTTAAATGGGGAAAAGCATCGAATGACTTCTCCCGCCCGGGTGATGCGGGAGGGAGTGTGAGACTAATACTGACTAAAAATCACCCCGTTCCTACTTCTGCCCTTCGAGCCTGAGCCTCGGCAACTCCTTAAGTCCTCCGTATCGGCATCAGCCCTATTGTCCCCTATCCGTAGTGGTCTGATGACTCTTTGGCGCAGAACGCGACGCGCCGTACGTTCGTGTCTGGTTCTGGTCGGGCGGCGAGGCACCCATGGTCGCCGTCCGCAGGTCCTTGCAGCGCAAGACCCTGTCTTGCACATGCTGAACTGCAGACTTGAGACACGAACATTGTACTTATCTATCTGTACCTTGCTAATGAATTAACACTATAATCGGTACTTGCAACTTGGTGTTTAACTTGTGAAATAAAGATTTTTCTATCTTTTTTAGTAGTTGTTGAATGACAGAAGAAAATAATATACTTATCAGCATGCCTACTCCCTCAGTGGATATTAAAAAGCTACGCTCTACGGACTACACATTTTGAACAGAGACCGGCCAGCAGCGCTCTTTGATACATCTAAACCTTTCAAACGGTTGTTTCCGATCCGCCTGCTGAGCGTGGATAGTTATTATGGCAAAAACCTTTTATGTATATGCCTATATTTCCGATGATCCTGATAAGGATTATTATTTTATTTCTGTGTTATCTGCCAGTCACTGGTTATGGGAAGCCAGCATTATTGCCTAGTATTGTAGATAAGAACATGAAAACAAGCACACCGCACATTAACGGCATTTACAAGCGATAATAATCGGTGCAACTAAATTCTAAATAGTGTGAATGGAACTCGACCTTAAACTACATTTGGACCACATACAGATACAACTAAAACTTAATACTACTTTATTTACAGTTGTATCAATAGATTTACTACTCTATTGCGTTCATAATAAAAGTAACAACAACTGCAGAGGACAGTATTTATTTTACAATCATATTTTTGCTGTTTCCATCCTTATGTTAAAGAATTAGAACTGAAAATTCAATAAATCAGCTGCAAAATCGTGATTTCTTAAAATGTCAATGGTACTAGAAATATTATGACAGTAATGAGGACTAATGTTTTGTGTACCTGCTAGATGGTGCTAAAGTAAAATGAGGTTCTAACTATTAAAAGTTGGACTGAACCATTAAAATAAAATAAAAATACTTGTCCAATCACTGGAGCTGTCAAAAATTGTATGTCAATTTTGTCTGATGCTATTTGGACGCGATATTCTGTTGACCACAATAATAGTAGCTTCGTAAGCCTTAAAATTGTCGCGGAGAACCTAACGGGTAACCGGGGCTCCGGCTCGACGTGCAGGAGAAGGAACGGGTGGTTTTTAGTCAGTAAGAGTCTGACACTCCCTCCCGCCTCACCCAGGCGGGGGCAGTCATTCGTTGATTTTCCCCCCTTAAAAAAGGCCTTAAAATTATACTCTGTGGATAGTCCTCATTGCTTTTTGGTATACTTTGAAGTGCTGTGACATACCTGTTTGTTCAAATGCATCTTCGAAAGTGCGTTCCACTGTTGGGTTGAGTTTCTCAGCACTCTCAGCATCCTCGTCCTCTTGGTATTTCAGTCTGTCTGTCATATTGTTTGACATATTGTCTTCTGTTTTATTTGTCTCCTTCTTATTGGCTCATCACTCTTCTCTCGCGTCAATCGTGATGTGTTGATTGGTTGGATTTTTGTCAATCTGTTGAAACGTAATTTTTGTTATTATTTTATGAGTAGTAATCCCATTTGGAAGTCATTGGTTGATACCATGTTCAGTGAACGACTTATGGCTTCATGGAGATGATGATGAATCCATTTAAGTAGGGTCAAAATTTTAACTGTCTGGTAGAGAAAAAATGGTTAAAGATGGTCCTATATTATAAGATTTTTTACAACACTCAGTTATTTATAAAACTCCTAATCCCCAAAAGGCCGGTAACGCACTTGTGACGCCTCTGGTGTTCCAGGTGTCCATAGGCGACGCCGATTGCTTACCATCAGGTGATCCGTCTGCTCGACTGCTTATGCCATAAAATAAAAATTATTTAACGGACATTAAGTAATAATACGTTTACCTTGACAATCTCAGCCTATCAGAGTTATACGTAAGAAAAAGTTTTATCAAAATCAATCGCGCCGTTTAGGAGGACTGCATTGACATGCATAAGCGCAACCGGTATCTATCTATCAGTACCCAAATGGCATAATTATTCCAGTTATATTACATTTTTATCTACACGCGTAAATGCGTAAAATTTAATCTTTATGCAGTCAGATTATTAATTTCCATGTATTAGTCCGTCAGTTTGATAATGAAAAAATATTAGACACGTATTTTTTTATTTTCTTGTATAAAGCTACAATACTTAGATAAAATGGCGTTAAGTTTAGGAGTGGGTGGTCGTTACGTCACAACGTGCTGTAAAATATAGCACGCTGTGACGTCACACGATATTTCAAATGAATAGTTATATCGTCGGAAGTATTTAATTTTGTGAGAAAATTAAAAATACGTAACTAATGATTTAAAATAATCTACCAGACGGACATTAAAATAAAATTTAGGAAACTACCGTATTATATCAAGAGGAGATATCTATAATGTTCTATTTGGTTCTATTAGACGCTTAGACAGATTTCTTTATGATACATCATCATGTACACCTGCTACAGTCGAGGAGTTGAGTATAAGTGCATTGCCGGTCTTATGGGGGATTCGACCAGACTACACGGTTGGCGAGGTGGCTGGACGAAATAAGCTGCAGATACTACTCTTTATGAGATCCACAAATTGAAGTTTCGGGTCTGGGTGTCATGTTTGGAATTATATGTTTGTAAACGCACCCATGACACAGGAGAAAATCCTAGGGTGGGGAAACTTTTTTTTTTTTTATAAAAATCCTGGTTGCGTTGGCACATAGAATAACGGACGCAAATATAATAAAAAACGTAAATAAGCACCCAAAGTTCGTAGCAAGTAGCACTCGGTAGTTTCTTTAGCTTAAACATATGTTCTATTGTATGTCTGTACATACCTCACTGTTCCTAGGCACTACAACGTAAATTGCCACTTACATAAAGTTAGTTATTTTTTTATCTAAACGTCAACATAAACGTTATCGTTGTATGAACAAATCAAATGTTTTATTAAGCATTGTGTAGCTAATTTTGTTGAAAGGCTTAGACATCAAGGAAAATATGAAGTCATTCAGGGTCCTTAGACAAAGTAACATCGCTTAATAGCGAAACGAAAAGTAAATTCGCCATCGTCTCTGAGATAACGATAAACATTTCCTAGCCAATGTAACACTATGGTCGTGATCGTTGTGTCGAATTCTTTATTCGGCAAAAAACAAAAATATTGGTTATGGTATCGAAAATCCAGCTGTCAGTGACAGTCAAAAAGTTCAAATCGGATCAAACCCGCGAGATATTGATGTTTCAAAATTTTATTAATAAGAAAGTGAGTGTTGCGTTTAATTGTTTTTAAGTTAAATATAAACGATAATTTTGTTCAAACGATGATGGATCTCTCTCTATTTCTTATCTATTTAAATGATAAAACATGGAATCAAGAGTGCGAGCAAGTTCTGAACAATTCGCAACGCTGCTCGAGTATATGGAAACGTAAGTAAATCTAAGTTTCATTCATGAGTATGTAATGTAAACAATGACGCGATCTTAACAATGAAGTACCTATGTTGAACCGTCGCTGTTTTAACCGTTTTTGGCGCCTCTCCCAGGCGGTCTCACTGTGTGCAGCCCACAATAAACGCAGAGAATGCATATTTTAATCTATTTGATCTGTATTAGTGTATTGCCTCTAACACAAAATAAATAATAACAGGATCAATCGATGTCAAAAATCTGCTGCCGAATGAAATTCGGCCATATTGTTTCAATAACTACAACGTTTTAGCATTCGTTTCGTTATCTTTTTTGGCGATCACGATCGAGGCGTTGGCGAACACTGAAAGGTCTGCTTGTCTACGCATTTATATGGAATAAACACGATAACGATTCGTTACTTTATAGTTTCGTTATGAAATATAACATTGTCTACCAAATTGCGATAACGATGTCGATTGACCACGTGACTTAACGCGGCCTATGTCAATCCCATACATTTTAGTCTTAACGAACTTCGTTATCGTTTTTAAATTGATACTTTGTCTAAGCCCCCAGGTTCGAAAACTGTCATTCTTTATCTTTGTTTTTTATATAATTATTAGTTTGTAACAGTACTTATTATTTTTCTAGAATCTTGAATGACTGACTAGAATTTAGTTGGTCAAATATTGTTATCTCTTTCTCTCTCTCTCTCGTCTCTCACTCTTGTTTCGTGAATCGAATCAAAGACATCTCAATCGTTTTGTGATCTCTTATTGAATTCCCCTGTTTGAACGGACATGGTGGAACACGCGGTAGGAGCATGCCCTGCGTCACCTACGTGTGCTGAGCACCGCCGTGCTCTCAGCAATGTGATCGGCGACGGCGACCTCTAAAAAAAATATCCCTATTTGAATACCTATTAAAATCAACAATCATATCCCGTATTGAATCTATATGGGACTCATAACACAACTTGGGAGATCTGTAACAGTTTTTGTGTCATGTCTAATTATTTATGGTGTAAGTACTTAAACCCATTAAGAAGTAACTTGCATCCCTCGAATTTTTCAGTAAATAAAAAAACTGACAAACGTCATGTAACCTAATATCGTACAATAATATAGTCCAATCTCAATGCAATTGCAATCCAATAAAATCTCAATAATTATTCAATGTCAACACTATACAACCCCTATCATAGTTGTTAATATAGCATTCAGAGTACGAACAATAAAGCCAAACTCAATACCATTTAGTTCCTTCAATATCCACGCAATACGGATGCAATGGGCGCTAGTGTTGTAACTCAAGAGTACAAAATTTCACTATACAAATGTCGATTAATCGGAATTGGATTCAAGAGTAAGCCCAAGGTCAGTGACATTGAGACCTCAAGAAGAAATAATACACTACGGGACGATAGTCCCATAAAATGTTTTATCTACCAAACAATACCCACATAGCTATTATATCCCGAGCATTCTTTTGTATAATCAATGCTCCAGTACCCATGGCATCCATAAAATATTGATAAAGCGCTGGGTTGTGATATTATACAATAGGTTTTATTCCCCAAATTTTAAGATACAATTTTCTGGAGCATTCTCGTGGATATCTGTCGCATTCTTTGTGGAAGTGAATTGATGAACTAGAACAAACAATTCCTAAGACTTCTTTAAAAGACGACGGTGACAGTTCTCCTTGTTGCATGTATCTAATAGAATTGAATTTTGATTTCATTCATCAATAGATTATTAGTGCGCCTGTTTAGTAAGCACGAGGTTTCAGTCAGTTTTGACACTTTACGGCCGAAATTTAACAACTGATTTAAAAAAATTAAGGAGGTTCTTAACTCGTCGAGTACCGGTTTTGTAGACACAATTATAGAACAATAGGTTGCGGTCACCGGTGACCGCTTGGTGTTTGACAGTTTAATTCGACTATACGTTTTTATAAAAGAGCTTAATCCATCATCTCTGAATCGATTTAAACTCCAATCCCAGGTACCAGGTCAATCCTCTTCTCTTCTCATAGTCCAGGTTTTGGATTGTTGATGATGACAACCAATACCCATATCCCTATCCGTCGCGGAGTACATAACGGGTAACCGGGGCTCCGACTCGACGTGCAGGAGAAGGAACGGGGTGGTTTTTAGTCAGTAAGAGTCTGACACTCCCTTCCGCCTCACCCAGGCGGGAGCAGTCATTCAATGATTTTCCCCCTTAAAAAACAAAAAAAGAAAAATACCCATATATCCCCAAGCTCTCCACTAACTATATTATAGACCTTATTTCCGATGTTTAGACTACTTTTGTATGAACAAATTTAGGGGATGATTTTCAACGGGTTCAGGAGTTTAAAATTGTGCCCATTATTCAGCATAAGATCAATAATTTAAAAAAAAACAGCTATCCTAATGATCACACATTGAAACCAATATATTTACCTAAAACAAACACATATCCACAACGAATCTAACGACAAAGCAATATTATTATGATAAAAAGTGACAAGTACCCTGATCCCATTTGGCCGATGGGAGCGTCAACATCAGTCGATTCGACCTTGGCTTATGCAAAACTTCGATATCAAGTCGGCTCAGTCTTGACTTGTATGATAATTGCTACTCAAAATACAGTATTCATGTATGTACCTTTAACTATATTATAAGCCTAAATTAAGGCTAAAATCATATTAAATAAATGAATCAGTATAATTTTCCTTTCTTTGTAGGATATTATGAGTCAAACGAGCTGATGGATCAAATCTTCATCCTTCATAACATCACGGCTTTTATCGCCGAAGGGGTAGGCAGAGGTGCACATTATACCACTGTACAATGTAACACCCACTTTTCACTATTTATGTTTTAAGTCCCATGTAATAGGGGGTGAGCCTATTGCCATATACCGGGCACAATTCCAGACTCTGTGCTACTACTGAGAATTTTTTAAAATCCAGTAATACTTTGCTCGCCCCGGTTATCGAACCCGACACCCTCTGCCCGGCAGTCACATTTGCGACCACTCGGCCAGCGAGGCTGTCGGATCTAATATTATTATCAAGTAATTAGCGTCATCACCAGAGGAGTTATGAGTACGTTACCAGTCTTCTGAGAGTTAACGATTTGAGGATTGGTGCCTTGTGGATGAAGGAAACTTATTAGGATTTAGTCTAGACTCAGTTGCATCTAGCCTTACTTTTTTTATGGCATAAGCCGGTAAACGAGCAGACGGATCACCTGATGGTAAGCAATCGGCGTCGCCCATGAACACCTGGAACACCAGAGGCGTTACCGGCCTTTTGGGGTAAGATGTTTGAGGATCGTAGGGGATTCAGGAATTGGGGAGATTGGGGAAGAGGAGGGTAATTGGGCCACCGGTAACCTCATTCGCACGATGAAACACAACGCAAGCGTTTCTTCACGTCGGTTTTCTGTGAGGCCGTGGTATCAGTCCGGTCGAGCCGGCCCGTTCATGCCGAAACATGGCTCTCCCACACTTAAATTCTTTTTTAATTTTTTCCTTGAACTCATACATTAGATAGTACGAAACATACAAACTAGCTTTATATTCATACTATTAGAAGGTCATTAACCCCACTATCAGTTATAGTACGTATTTCTAGTAACCTACATCCTTCAATCACATTTTAAGATAAGCAGTCATGCCATATGAGTATTAACATCTTTAAAATCACAACTATAAGGTTGAATTTCGCTTGGTTCTGCTCGAAACAATGTATCCAAATAGTCTATTGTTGTAATCGAATATTACTTGATAATGAAACTTAAGAATTGGAAATTGACGTTGGAGTTCATTTGTCAAGATTACTATTCATAATATCGTAACTTTTATTCGCAAACGGGGTAAGCAGAGGTACCCAGTTTCAATGTAACACCATCTTTTGTGATCCCATGACCCATCACTATGTCCCATCCCATGTAGGTACATAACTATTTTCTTCGGTATTATTTTTTTTTAAACTGTCAAACACCAAGCGGTCACCGGTGACGGCAACCTATTGTTCTATAATTGTGTCTATAATGACGGTACTCGACGAGTTAAATTGATTTTTATCTTATTTGTGTAAAACACTATGTGTCTCGGTGTCGTTATTTCCTCCTGCCTAGGGCCTATGTACTCTCTTTTTATATATGTATTGAACCTAATATCATACACCACCAGATAAAATATCAGACTCCCTGCTATTATAAATAATGTAAACACACAAAAAAGGTATTAGTCTGAGAAATCCAATAAGTACATTTCATGATCTACATAACATACATAACATCACGCCTTTTATCTCCGAAGGGCAGACAGAGATACACATTAAGGCACTGTATAATGTAACACCCACTTTTCACTATTTATGTTACGAGTTCCATGTAATAGGGGGTGAGCCTATTGCCATATACCGGGCACATTTCTAGACTCCGAGCTGCTACTGAGGTTCTTTTTAAAAACCCAGTAATACTTTGCACTACCCGAGACCCCTTGTCCGGCAGTCGCACTTGCGACCACTCGACCAACGAGGCAGTTCATGATCTGGTTCAATTGACAGAACAATAAGCTATTATGAACTAACAATACGGATAATTGTTTACGACCTGTTAACTTTAGAATAAATCATAATTTAACTGTAATTGGTTGACAATGTGATCACTGAAATCACCAGTAAGGTCAAATAACTCATTATCATCATTTAAATAGACGATGGGATAAACATAACATCACGCCATTTATCCCTGAAGGGGTACGCATTTAAGGCACTTAATTCCGCCGTACAATGTAACACCCACTTTTCAGTATTTATGTTACGAGTCCCATATAGTAGGGGGTAAACCTATTGCCTATACACAGGGCACAATTCAAGACTCCGTGCTACTACTGGGAAATTAAAAAAATACTACTAATAATAATATGCCCGAACCGGGAATCAAACCCGAGACCCCTTGCACTGCAGTCACACTTGCGACCACTAGGGCAACGAGGCAGTCAAAGCTAGGTTTTAATTAACTCGTCGAGTACCGTCATTATAGACACAATTATAGAACAATAGGTTGCGGTCACCGGTGACCGCTTGGTGTTTGACAGTTTAAAAACCAAAGTCTACTAAACTTGTAGAAGTTCCTAGGTAACACAATTTTTCCAAAATACGTATTCAGTGTTCAGTTTTAACCTAGCTACGTTCTTGTCTATGTAATTAATTAATCAGTAACAACATGTTGTACAAACAGGTAATCGATTTAGTAGATAACTTATGCGTTTTTAGCTACCTATATCGACACGTTAGAAACGGCGCAACACTCGTTGCATCAGCCTTGAATACGAAAAAAAACTTATTAACAACCAATTTCCACTTCACTAACTGTGCATATCCCTACAAAATAAAAAAAAAATTAACAAACCTTTTTAATAATAGCATAGAATTGGGATGATGACGGGGTATGAAAATTTAAAATCATTAGACACGTATTTTTTTTATTTTGTTGGATAATAAAAAAAAACTTAGATAAAACGAATCAAAGTTTAGGAGTGGGGGCGAAAACGCCATTTCTACGTATAAAATATACAAAGCGACATTTCAAATCAATATATCGTCAAACGTATTCGTTTCTGTAAGAAAAATAAAAAATACGTGTTTATTGATTTAAAATAATCTACCAGACAAATAAAAATTAGGCATCTACCATATTGTTATAAAATATAAATTATGAATAGTACAATGGTATTTGTAACATAATTCGCCAAAAGAGGGTGAATACAAATAAACCTCTACCCACCGGTTCAGGTAAAAACAACCAAGTTCTGCGTCATCAGAAACATCAAATACCTAATTCATAATACAAAATACGCAATCAATATTAACCATTTACAACACACAACACAGTTAACTTGAAAACCATAAAATATAACTATGCGGTAAAAATAAACAAAACGTTACTCACATGTTTCGAACTTAACACGTAAACTTATGAATGGAACATGTAATTTCGATATTATACCCGAAAACAACCACTTTCACTAATAAATTTACACAAAAAATCACTTAGATATAATTACAAATTAATATTTAACACATTTTAATTCAGTAAACCACGTTTTAGATAACTAAAACACGGTTATGGGGAGGATAAGCGATGCGTTTGCTCGCGTCGAGAGCGAGTGATGAACTGACTGAATGAACTGATTAAATTTAGGCGCAGGGATCAGCGCACGCGCATTGCGGTATTTATATAGAGCTGGCATTACCAGGTCATTCTTAAATAGTATTTGTTTTGCTAATTTTAGTACAAAATGAGGGCATTTTTAGTACTAATATTTTAGGTCTGAAATCGCCAATTCACATTCAGTAAGTGTGCTATTCAATAGGTATTCATTCCTTTTTCGTGTGAGAAGATGCTTTTTTTCAAACAGACTTTTGGCCAGCTAAAATAGTATTTGTTTTTTATTTAGTTTTTTTTACTTTAATAATATTTTGTAATAAAAATGGTTTAAATTTTTTATTGAAATGCGGACAAGGAATAATAATATTTTTCAAATCCTTTGTTGTTAGATAGTTTATGATAAATTTTATTGAAGGTTTGCACTATCGGGCATTATGATAAAATCATGAGTAGGATTTCTATCGGTAATTCTTAAATGCGCAATGTCTCGTGGCATTTACACACATATGTACCTATAGAATATAATACAAGATCTACTCACATGTGTTTTCCTTATGTTAACCTTCATTGAAGAGATTAATTTAAAACCTAATCAAGCTAATAATACCTATGCAGTATTTAATGACGTCGTGGTGGCCTGGAGGTTTAAGATGCCCGCTTCTCATGCATGAGGATGCGGGTTTGATACCTACCAACGACAAGTACCAGTGTGACTTTTTCCGAGTTATATGTAGGTACTTTCTAAGATTACAAACGGTGAAGGAAAACATCGTGAGGAAACCTGGGCTTATAATTTTAATTGTAAGTTTGAAACTCGCCAACCCGTATTGAGCAAGCGTGGTTTAATGCTCAAACCTTCTCCGTGTGAGAAGAGGCTATGCTCAGCAGTGGGCATTTATAGATGATGATGAGTGGCTGTTTATGATGATGATTTAAGGACGTAGAACAAGATTTAAGATTTTACATAACATAAACAC